ATCCACAACCCCAGAGAAGTTAGGTAACAAGGAGGACCCAAAATAGGTATCTTTAAAGTGTGGTCATCTTTATAGTTGTACAGAAGTTCACTAAAGTGAATAGTCTTTTAGACTGGGAAAGTGTCTAAGTCTTTTCATTAAACTAGTTTTGTGATGTTTTTATTTGTGTGTTAATTAGAATGGAGTGAATTTGTTTATTTTTAAGGGTGCTATGATAAATTCAAGGATACTGTACTTTTGAATCAACTCACACACAGACACACACAAACACACTAACCTTGGGTGGCACCATTTACTAAGGTTTTCAAGCGGAATGCACTATACCACAACCTTGTCATTATATATTGCTCATGTGACTCTACATTTTACTTAAATTGGGCTGGACTCAGACATGTCATTATTAGATGCAGTTCATGTAAATTGTTTGGTTATAATGTCTCAACCCACAGAGCTTAAGAAGGTAGCTGCCTGGCTGGTAGCTGGATTGTGATGACCTTGGCAGCGATGAGTTCAGTGAGACAGCACTATGGAGTATACCTTTTATCTCTTTATAATCTAGTCCATAGCCCCTGTCATGACACACATTCAAACTAAGAAAGCTGAATTGTTAAGTGTGACTCAAACCACATACTGATCACTGTTTTTGTCTTAGTAAAGCCTGCACTCAGAATGATAGACCTTTACAAAATTATATGCCAAAGCATGTAGCTACAAGGACGAATGAAAAATTTGGTCCACTGTTGGTGACTATAGCACAGAGTTCTAAACTCGATTCTTTATAGGAGTCAAGGACCACATAGTTCCTATATTCTAGACTCCTGGTCCATGAACATATAATCTTCTTGTTAATACTCACTACAGATGAAGAGTTTATTGATCCTATAACAGCATTCAGAAATGTGCATTAGCAATGTTCCCTCCCCCTCCCTCTTTGCAAGACCTTGAAAGGGGTGATTTTCATTTATCTTTCTTTTGCATGAGGTGACTTTGAAGTATTAGCTAACACTGTTTAATGGCAAGTATGCTGTGATATTCTCCTGTACTCAGGAATGCTGAAAGGAGGATAAAAGTGAAAGTGAAATGACAAAATAAATGAGCCAGAAAATAAGGCCCCTGAACAATGAAATTTTAGTACCTAAGCCAAATAGATGAAAACCTTTTAGGTTAATTATATAAATTCTGCTTATTACAGACTGTAAAAAAAAATCTAGGTTTCTTATCACCATGAGCAGCTTCTGAGGCTCCAAATGGAATTTCCTAATGGGCATGGAAACAAATCTGTTTCTTTTATTTCTGAGATACTATGTAGCTTGGCTACAAACCAGTACTGACCAGCTGTTCCTCTTCATCCTTGAATCTACCTGGTCTTATTGCAGACATTTAAGTTTGGAAATAATGTATGTTTCTTCCTAAATAATAGCCCTATTACTGGCTTCTGGAGAGACTCAATAAAAAAAAATGACAGCATCTCTGGTCTCTCTAAGGGGTAAGTAAAATGAAGTACTTAGAGAGTCTCAGAGTGGAGACTCTGACCTTTGACCTTGCTTCTGTAGCAGCAAGATTTTTTAAAATTTATTTTTCAGTTTAAATTTAGATAAGAAACAAGGTTGTTTCACAAGTCAGTTCCAGGGCCCTCTCCCTTTCCCTCCCCTCCTCCCATACCCTCCCCCTAACCCTCTCCTCAACTATCCCCTCATTTCCCCAGGGAGGGTGAGGCCCTCCATGGGGTGTCCATAGTCTGTCATTTCATATAGGGCAGGGCCTAGACCCTTCCCCAAGAGTTCTGGGTGAGAGTGCATCTCACATTGTTGGATGGGAGTCCAAAATCCATGTGTATACTCGGGATGGGTACTGATTTGCTGCCCAAGGCTCAATAGATTACCTAGGCCTCCTCACTGACACTCACATTCAGGGGGTCTTGATCAGTCCCATGCTGGATTCCCAGGCTGATGCCTGGGATTCAAGAGTTAACCTTTGTCAGGTCAGCTGTTTCTGGGGGGTAAACCAGCCCAGTCTTAATCCCTTTGGTCATCAGTCCTCCCACTCTGTTACTGGCTTTCTTGAGTTCAGCTCAGTACTTAACCGAGGGAGTCTGCCTCTTCTTCGATCAGCCACTAAATTAAGTTTCTGTTTCCCAGACTCTCTGGCCATAGGATTGTAGGCTGGCACTCCCCAGATCTCTGTCTAAAATCCATATATGAGAGAGTACATGCCATGTTTCTTTTTTTGTGACTGGGTTACCTCACTCAGGATGGTTTCTTCTAGTGTCATCCATTTGCCTGCGAATCTCAGGATTCCAATGTTTTTTTCTGCTGAATAGTACTCCATTGTGTAAATGTACCACATTTTCTCTATCCACTCTTCGGGTGAGGGACATCTAGGTTGCGTCCAAGTTCTGGCTATTACAAATAATGCTGCTATGAACATAGTGGAACAGACATCTTTGTTGTATGAATGGGCATCTTTTGAATATATGCCTAAGAGTGGAGTTGCTGGGTCTTGTGGTAGGTTTATTCCCATTTTTCTGAGGAATCTCCATACTGATTTTCAAAGTGGCTGAACCAGTTGACACTCCCACCAGCAATGGAGGAGTGTCCCCCTTTCACCACATCCTCTCCAGCATAAATTGTCATTGGTGTTTTTGATTTTAGCCATTCTGACAGGAGTAAGATGGTATCTCAGAGTTGTTTTGATTTGCATTTCTTGGATGGCTAAGGATGTTGAGCACTTTCTCAAGTGCCTCTCAGCCATTTTAGACTCCTCTATTGAAAACTCTCTATTTAGTTCTGCAGCGACTTTTTAATTGGGTCCTTTGATGTTTTGGAGACTTGCTTCTTGAGTTCTTTGTAAATTTTGGAGATCAAGCCTCTGTCAGATGTGGGATTAGTGAATATTTTTCCCATTTTGTGGGCTGCCTTTTTGTCTTGCTGACTGTGTCCTTTGCCTTACAGAAGCTTCTCAGTTTCAGGAGGTCCCATTTATTAATTGTTGATCTCACTGTCTGTGCTAGTGGTGTTATGTTCAGGAAGCTGTCTCCTGTACCAATTCGTTCAAGGGTACCACCCACTTTCTCTTCTAAGAGGTTCAGTGTGGCTGGATTTATGTTGAGATCTTTCACTGTTTGCAGATGATATGGTAGTTTACATCAATGACCCAAAGAACTCTACCAGGGAACTCTTACAGCTGATTAACACCTTCAGCAAAGTGGCAGGCTACAAGATCAACTCAAGAAAATCAGTAGCCCTACAATATACAGATGATAAAAGGGCTGAAAAAGAAATCAGAGAAACATCATCCTTTACAATTGCCACAAACAACATAAAATACCTTGGGGTAACGCTAACCAAACAAGTGAAAGACCTGTATCGCAAGAAGTTTGAATCTTTAAAGAAAGAAATTAAAGAAGCCCTCAGAAAATGTAAAGATCTCCCATGCTCTTGGATAGGTAGAATCAATGTAGTAAAAATGGCAATCCTGCCAAAAGCAATCTACAGATTCAATGCAATCCCCATTAAAATCCCAGAACAATTCTTCACAGACCTTGAAAGAACAATAATCAATTTTGTATGGAAAAACAAAAGACCCAGGATAGCCAAAACAACCCTGTTCAACAAGGCAACATCCGGAGGCATCACCATCCCTGACCTCAAGCTCTATTATAGAGCTATAGTCCTGAAAACAGCTTGGTATTGGCACAAAAATAGAAAGGTAGACCAATGGAATCGAATTGAAAACCCGGATATTAACACACACACATACGAACATCTGATCTTTGACAAAGAAGCTAAAAATATACAATGGAATAAAGAAAACATCTTCAACAAATGGTGCTGGCATAACTGGAGAATGGCATGTAGAAGAATGCGGATCGATCCATGTTTATCGCCATGTACAAAACTTAAGTCCAAATGGATCAAAGCAGCAAGTATTAAGCAGCTTGAGGAACTTACATCTAAGCTTCCAGCATCTAGTGATGGCTCTAGAAATTGGAAGGAAGCAAACAGACAAGAAAATGGAAAGAAGACAAGCCATAGGACTGAAACTACTATAGTGAACTGTTGTCAAACAGATTCATGGAGTCTTTGGGTTTTCCAGCAGTAAATTTAGAAGACATTTTCATAAATCGTTGTGAAGGTTGGGAATTAAGGGGTTGGGTATGGACTTAAATATTGACGTGTTGTTTCTTGGATGGAACTCAAGACTGTACCCTGGTTAAACTGGTAAGTCCTGACTGCAAGCTCCTCTTTCCTCATTTTCATTGTTACAGTAAAAGCAGGGGCTCTCTGGCATACTCTTATATCTGGCTTCCTTTTATCTACCTTCATAGCTAACTACTGCCTTATATTCGGTGTGTATATGTGCACATTCTGACAGTTAGTGTTTGTACGCATGACATCATATAAATCCTTTGTACTTTTACACTTTCTGTAAACTATTTTATATTGCCTAAATTAGACACATTTTTTACAACTTACTCTTTCAATCAATTTTTTCAATTCATATTTTTTCTATTTTTATACTTAAAATACCACTTAATTTGTCTTAACACATGTATGATTTTTCCACTGGCTAATTGTATTCTAACCACTGTGACTGATATTTTTAATAGTATCCCAAAATCAGTACTATAGTAATTAAATACATAACTTCCACCTATGTGTCACAATAGCTCTGATAATTGATTTTGTAAATTTTATCATGACACTGTACTCCCAATTATTCCAACTTAAAATATTTATAGTATTCTGATGAATTATTTCATCATTGGTTAATTACAGTTAATGTGTTATATTTTAGAGATACAAAGGGATCTTCAATTGGAAATCCTATCCACCAATTTAGCATTTTCCACCAAAATGCTGAGCAGAAATGCTAAGGAGAAAGCTCATAGGTCACCCCATAGTTTTCTTAGATGCAGCCTTACCAGGAGTGTTAACATCAGCCATTGCTCTCTCCTCAGGTGCCCTGGGAGCTTTCTTGGCATCACTAATACCGGGCTTATCTAAATATCAAAATTTATGATCTTGTTCATCGTTCTTGCACAGGTGCTATGCTAATCTTCTCCGCATTGTCCCAATTTTCATATACCTCTGCTGAAGAAAGCCAATCATTGGTCCACACTTTTATCATCAAATCCTTGTCACCCATGAAGACCATTGAATGCCACATCCTGTCACATACATTTGTGAAGTACTATTCCCAATTTGCTGATGATTACCAGCACTCATTCTCTTTTCTAGAATATTTTTTACAGTGCATAATTAATATTCACTTGTGTTCTGGTTTCTTTGTTGATTCTACTTTAGTTCACTGTAAGCACCATGAAATCAGCATACAATATGAGCTTAGCAGATATTGGCTGGTTGATTAATGGATACATTGTATAGTTCATGGAATATAAAATTCATCTTGTAACATGAGATTTTATCCTTCAAAACATAAATAACACATAGAGAAATAGAATACTTAGAAGCAAGTAAAATATAAAAATAAATATTTGTAGAATTTAGCATATTATCCTTCTTATTTCTGGAAGCTTAAAATTAGAAATATTAAGATGTTGCAACAAATGACTCAAACAAAATGTGACCATTTAATTATAAATTGTTATTTAAATTTTAGTATGAATAAATTTCACATTTCTTATTAATAGTGTTATTTTAATTACATGAAATCTAAAATATGTAGAAAACTGCAAAATAATCCAAACATTTATGTGCCATCACTGAGATTCAACAGATGTTAACATTTTGCCATATGTGCATCAAACCATTTTTAAAATAGGAAATGAAATATTACAGATTCAATTAAGGTCCCCAGGCCCTGTTATCTCTTTCCTTCTGACTAGAAACTCACACATCACAATGTTTGTACTTCTGCTGTATATCATGAGTCTAGAAACAGCATAAATAGGCTCTGTTTGTATGTCCTGGGTCTCCTTATTAAGAAATATACACAATCACAAAAACAAAAACAAAGGGAAAATAATGAAAGCTATGGTGATAGCTTAGTCAGGAAAGTGCAGGGCTTGCTTTTAAAGTATGAGGACTTGAGTTCGATCTCCAGATGCAGTGCAAAACTCTTGGGCATCTGTATATCTAACACTGGGAAGTGGAGACAGGAAGATCTCTGGGACTTACTGGTGAACCTGTCCGGAATAACAGGTAAACCTTAGGTCAATGGGATACAGTTCCTGAAGATGCCACTTAAAGTCAACCACAACATCCACATGTGCATATACAAACATGTACATACACATATACGGGTACACATGAAATGCAAAAATGAGGCATATTTTATGCGTAGTATGGATAGATTATTAAATTTGTTTGTATATTTGTATTTCTGATACATGGAATCATTCATTTTACTACATTACAAAACGTTCATTTGTTACATTGTTGTTGGATTTATAGGAAACCTATACAGAGTCAGGGAAAGAATGATTCCTGTCTGAAGTCACTAGCATAACTGGAGATCAGCATCAATAGTTAGAGCCTGACCTGCTTGAAATAGGGAGTTCATGTCTATCTTCTTAATAGTTCACTTCTGTCTTTGCCTAACAAAATCATCAAATGTACACATTGCACTAACCAAGCATAGGCATCATTAGTATTTTCTCTCTAGCTTTTCTTCCCCATCCTAAAGCTAAAGAATTTATGATTAACCTCACATTACATACTATTCAGCATAAAACATCTTGTTCAGAAAAAATTAAAACTGTGAAAATAAAGTTTCCTCAAATTAAAGGTTCATTAACATATAAAATCTACCTTCATTTGTGTGTTATATTTTACATGAATGGATTCACTCTGTGCACCTTTGAAAAGTGAATTACCTCACTGGCTTTGTTTTAGAAATTCCTCATGCTTACAGGTAGCTATAGTCTACTCCCTTTTACTGCTGTCAAATACCACATTGTGCTAATCAACCACATATTATTTTTCTAGAGTGTTTGAGGTGGGTATTTAAAAGGTGTTTTGGGCTTTTGAGCAAAGTTGAAGAAGACATTCTCCTTCATCTCTCCTTCAACAGGTATAGTACTGTCACCAAGGCAACCAATTAGAGTGAAATTCTGGCTTGCAGAATATGCCTGTGTTATGCAAACTGAAAAGCAACTGAAAATCTTATACTCTGCCCATCACTATTGTTTTTGTTTCTCTCTCAAGATTGGTGCAGACCACACTCATTGTAATTTAGGTTTTCACCTGCTATCTCAAGTGCCTTTCTAAACATTCCATATGAAGATTCCTAGTGGACACACTTAATTCTATTTCCGTCATATCTACAGTTTCTCTTTCCCAGATGATTTTCTTGAGATTTTGTGGATAGTACAGCTATGAAATGAATGTCTGGCACAAACAGTGTGCATATATGACAGTAGGCCTCTAATGCCACAATGAAACTGAGAGATTCCTATCCCTAGTAACATTATCATGTTGTAGCACAACAAGTTATCCATATGTTTGTGGCATTGTGGGTGTACTCAAACCTAGTACATTACCAATCTTGTAAAACACATTGAATGTATAAATATGCTTATCCATAACGTGGTATGAAATACTACTAATAATACTGGCATATGTATTTTCTGCCATTTTTCTTATGAAGTGTACTATTTCTATTTATTAAAAACTGCTATACCTTAGGGCAATCTCATACATATTGGTGTTTACTATTTCCCTTCATTTTCTCTGTGCTTTATTCAATCTTAACTCTATGCAAATATGTCTAATGAAATATGTCTAATGAAGTCACACACTAGAATCCCCTTGTGGTGAAATTATCTTGACATACAAATCCCACATGCCTATATTTTGAAAATAACCAAAAACTAGCTATTCATTTGTTGTCAACTTAATCTTTTATTAGACACGGTGAATATGCCCCAGCATTGTACTCTGCACAAGGTATAGAGAGTAAGCCCAGGATGTCATGACTCTTGAGCTGTTTACAACCTGGTGGGAGATGCGTACAGTCCCAGGACTATTTTCAAGCAAGAGAGGTTTAATTATTTTAATCATAACAAGCCATGAAACTCATGTTAGAAGTGCATCTGGAAAGAGAATGTGGCTTTCACTTTAGTAACTCCCCATGGAAACCATCTGAGAACATACTGTACTCAAAATGTCAGAGACAAGAAATGAAAAAGACCTAGAAATAGAAAGGGATGGAGAAAAGGGGAGAGCAATGTGGGAGAAGAGAGTAAATTAGATACAGAAAGAAGCAGAGTAGACAAGAGATTTCAACACATATCAATAAAATGGAAACCTCAGATAAGAACTAGACATAACAGAGTTATTTTATATTTTAAACATTTGCAATTTTTTAATTTCCATCTTTCTTGAAGTGTGTGTGTGTGTGTGTGTGTGTGTGTGTGACAAAATATAGATAGCTGTAGCTTTTAGTTGTCTTTGCTGGAATGTTTTACAAGATCATCATTCTCTCTCCTTCGCCATTGACAGGAAACATAACCATAGGTCTGGCTTTTGTGTACTTACAGGTAACAGTCCCTGGGGAAGGAGGGTGCTTCAACCTCTCTCTTGTTTCACAACCCCCAGAAACTCATGTGTCTGTTCTCTCCTGCTGTGACAGGCCATGATTTTATCCCTGCTTAAAGCAAATATGTCCATATAATTCCATGGAAATTCTTCAAGTATTTCATTGGTTTCTTATTTATATTTGCTATAGATTGTAATTAAATGACATCAAATAATAGGGCATCATTAAACCAAAACAACTAATAGTTATGTTACTATTAAACTCTATATGGAATGCTTTAGAATAAGATGTTTGCACTCAATGGCCAATTTAATTCAGATAATTTCATGTCATAAATATTTATGTGAGATCATTTTACTAAGAAGAAATTCAAGAAATAATATTATTGAATGGGGCAGAACCATTGACTGTGTGTATGGATATGTGTGTGTGTGTTCATATGTGCAGTCACATGCATGTGTTGGGGAAACAGTTTAATAATTAACACAGCATCTCTGTGTGTTTATTTGGAACTGAAGTAGCTGTGGGACTGGGTGGGACAAAGAAAACACCAGAAACATACATGTATAGAGGTACCCATGCATATCTATGGTAAGAGGAAATCATCCGTTGTTTCTCAGGATTTATACTTATTTTTTTAATGTTTTCACTCACTGTCCTAGATTTATCAAACAGACTTTCAGTTGGCCAGCAGATCCCAATAATCTTCCAGCCTCTGCTTTCCCTGCAGGGGCCTTACAAGTGCATGCATGCCACCATGCCACTACTATTTCTGAGAATCCAATTAAGGTCTTGCTTACAAGACAAACATTTTGCCAAGTAAACTATGTGTACAGTCACTGTACGTTTTGTTAATCAAAGCTCAATTATGTTTGGGTTAAGCTGTCTTTTCAAAATTGACTAGATGTACACCCTGATAAAGTCATCCTTAACTATTCATTCTTTTTGCTTTTGGAAACTGAATTTCTTCACACCTCTGGGTGTCACTCAGAATATCTGATACTTCTATATAAAGCTTCTCCATTCGTTTCATGGTGACTGTCAACTTCAGTGGTTCTCTAACATTCTCAACACTGAATTTCTGAACAAGAAAGAAGCACTGCTGTCCTCCTTGAACTTATACTTTAACGAAAGGAAAACTCCATAGGTGAATAATGACTAAATAAACCATTCATTATCTCAGTGTTATGAAGGAAACTGATGGCTGTGATAAATAATCATATGGGTGATTTTAAAGATGCATTTATTTATATTTATGTGTATTGTGTTTACCTACACGATGGTCTGTGCACTACGTGTGTGCAGGTACACAAGGAGGCCAGAAGATTGCATTGGATCCCCTGGAACTGGAGTTAACAGTGCTTTTGAGTCACCATATGCATACCAGGAACTGAACCCAGGTTCTCTGCAAGAGTAGTAAAGTACTCCTAACTACTGAGCTATTTCTCCATCCCCAGCAATGATTTAAGTGGGATTACCCTTTCTCCTGAAAAGGGGACTTCTTATCAAGGTTTGAATGAGTGGTGATAAGAAAGAACAAAGCAGAAAGAACAAAGGCAGCTATTACATGGAGGACTCACATTTTCTTTAGAGGGAAGAAT